CCTCCAGCTAACCCTTGCATTAGTCGATTCAAATTCCGCACACCTCTTAGCCTCTTTTATATTCCCATAATGCACTGCACAGGCAGAGGTGTCCGGGATCGAAGTCAGGCAAAGCTTCGTCTGCAGTGCAGATACTTTCTTACTATGTAACTAACAGCGAATCCCCACGATTTCCTAATCAACCTTAGGCACCCTGGCAATTCCTGTCAGACACTCTGGGAAATCCTTGCAGAAACATGCATAGGCAAGCACGAGCAAAAAAACGCTCCTCCAAACCCGTCGCGTGCCACTGCCCCTCTGAAAAAGAAAACCATTGGCAAGAAACGTATTCCTAGAATATTTCATACCCCGAATAAAACTAAAGTCACCCTGCATCCTCCCACCTTAAGCTGAAATAGCTCATGAACAGTTCTGTTGTCTTCAGAGCGGCCTGCAGTCTCCCGAACTAAAGAAAAGATGCATGGTGGCTGCATCATCCGTATGCTTTCAGTGAAGTGACAAATTCTCAGTCTGACCCGATTACGATTTATCGAAACTTTTACAAAGCGAATGTTGCATTTCTGATAAGCCACGGGCAGTCATAACAAAACACAGTGACACGACACAAAAAACTTGAAAGGAACTCGTTTATTTTAATACTCCATTGACATATCTGTGCTGGCATAGAAGGTACAAAGCAGCACCCTTACGGCTAAACAAAATCTCAACCGAGAACATGAAAAAACTTTATGGATCGCAGATGTCAGCCAAGCGATGAGAGATATCTAAACGATCTGTTCGCCCCTCAGAGCACTGCTCACGCATTTCTTCAACACAGTAAACATGACAGGGATAATAAGCAAGATCCGTGGACTGTGAAAATTTGAAGCTATCCTTAGATTTTCTCAATACTTGTACTAAGCAGGAACTTTATAAGAAGTGGTGTATAGCATCATTAGTTTTCCGTTATATGCGTGCGAAGCTGCCATCTTCGTATGCGTTCATGATCTGCAATAAGTCGCCCAAAATGTATGTACGGTAGCAAGCCCGCATTACGCACCAGTTCGCCCTCTAAAGCCGCTCATTACACTCTGAAAAAAATTATTTTCTAACATCTCAAAAGCCAGTGACAACTGACAATCTTAAAACCTTCGGGTGTACCAACACCACGCACTTTTGCGAGTAGTTATCGCACAGTTCGCTTAAAACTCGTCCCGGGATCATAGTTTGTAGTACAGAAGAAGTTTACACAATGAAACAAATTATCAAAACATCCAATTCGCATCTTACCTAATACTACAAGTAGAGACTGTAAACTTCAGAAAAGCACTACGGCCCTGAAATTCAATTACCCTTGCTTTCCCGTGATATTCAGGTAGCTCTCACACAACAAATAAACGTACTCATATCAGCAGTTACGAATTGCAATAAAACGCACCGCAGCCATTTACACTTCCAATTCAGCCTGTGCAACAGATGAAATTGATGATCTCTAGGCCAACGCCATTTCCAGACACTCACTCTGAAAAGCTTTGTCGACCTGCTCCTCGTCGGCCACGACACAGCTCGTTACTCCATTTTAATTCCGCATCCAAGTAACTACATACTCGTTCTCAAGCGGTGCATCCGTCTCGATGTTCCATTGATATCGCACGGAAGAACCTTCGACAGACCGCACTGTCCGCCAGCAATTCCCGATCCCGGCAACACGTCCAGTCTGGCTTTTTTCGTTGGCCTAAACTACCTCAGTTACATCTTTTGTTCTTTACAAAAACAAAGGCGTCTGCAACCTGTTCACGCAACCAAACGACGCTCTAATTCCTCTTTGCCTCGCCTCTGCACCAACACTTCTGTGCTGTCTTATATACACATAAAGGAGTTGCTCATGCAACGAAAACTGAAGATATCGCTTTTCTTACCTGATGTTACCGCTCAAAAACGCTCTGCAGCCCGGTGACACATTCTCAGTTTGCAACAACTGCACCTGAGCTGCACTGCCGCAGGTACTCCACCACTCCTCGTATCCGTTCCCTAAATAAATTATACGACCCTTCTGATATCTCACATTTTGACAGGACAGCTAAAGCTCCAGCATCAACTGCATCTTTGCATTTCACAGTTCCTAAGGTGTTTGAGGGGCTTTGCACAGCTGCATTTTGAAATCAGGCACGACAAGCACCTGCCGAATGCCAGCGTGGGACTAACGCGTCACGCCCGTGTTCCGGGCACAGCCCATCAACCCACATGCACCTACCAGCACTATCCTGTAGACTTCGGAAACTTGTCCTCTCGAGCTTACATACAGTATGGGCCGCTCGACAAATTCTGTGATTAGCCCGTATTGGTTTATTTTCGCAGAAGAGTGAAAAGCATTTCCAAAAACATTCTCACTACACCAACTATCTCCACCTGAGCGAAATGCAATCCGATGCCTCAAACTCAGAGCCTTTTCTCCTGGATCCTGATGCCTCCTGGACAAAATCACTGCCTCAGAAAAATAACCTCTCCAAAATGTTAAGCGGTATGGTGATTAAGTGGCAAAAGAATCAATTGCTATTAAAACTCAAGTGCTAAAAAAAAAAAAAAAAAAAAAAAAAAAAAA